GCCTGAAGCAAACAAATCAAGACCGTATGTTTGAAGCAATCCAGCGAACTGCCAGCTTGTACTGTGTGGTCATACTTAGACACTGAGAAGCTTCTGCAACCATGGTGAACCATCTCCTCCACAATGCCAAAAACCAGCTGCCACAGGCCCTTCCTTGCACAGGCAGTGATGGCAGCACTATAGCTGATAGCATTTCGCCGTACTGTCTGCGCATGCATTAGCTCAAGAACGTCCAAAGCGCGCTGCCACTGCCCAGCGTTCCCAAGTGCAGCAATGGCAGCAGTGCAAATCACAGCGTCCATCTCAACCTTGTGCTTGGTCACGTCCGAAAGCAAGCCCAGCGCTGCCTGCCATTGAGCTGTTTGCTGGCATGCCTGAATTGCAGAGCTGCAGGCAAACTGGTCCTGGGCGAGCTTCGCGCCAGGCATTTCAGCCAGGAGGAAAACTGCAAGCTGCCAGTTGCCACCTGCAGCCACCGCACGGATGGCCGATCCAAAGCTGACCGAATCTGGCCGCAAGCTGCTCATTGGCAGCATGCCGAAGACTGTTAAGGCATGCTGCCACTGCTGTCCTTTCTGAAGTCCATCAATCAAGCTGTTCGACGTAATTGTGTTGCTGCTGACCTGCCTGGAATGCATCTCTGCGAAAAGCATCATTGCCAGCTCCCAGTGCTCGGGCGCTATGCTCATAACAGCAGTGTAGGTGACAGATGTTGGCGCTAACCCTTGAGAAACCAGCGCTCCATACAATTCCAAAACTAACTCCCAGCAGGAGCTATTAGCGCAGGAGTTCATCGCGGAATTGTACGTTATCACGTTCGGTGAAGTCGCCCAACCTGCAGATGTTGAGAACAACAGAAAGCAGTTGGGAAGCTTGTGAGAGGGACCATCAATCCTGAGCCTGTTCGTTCTAAGAGCACCCAGAACTTTTGTCACCCAGAATCGCAGGATCCATGTCAGGACATTCAAGTAACTCTAGAAACTCAAGCCTAAATCCGATGTATCCTGGGGTTCCCGAACACTAGGGACCCCTGCTACCCTTCAGCCTCTTTCAACCCAGGACTGAGCTCCTCACCCTGAACCCTGAACTCTAAACCCAGGCATCCATGGTATCTTTTAGGAGGACCCCCCACCCTGTAATAGTGGTATAATAGGAATATAAGAGGACCCTAATATAATCCCTATTATCCGTTATGGTCACCATTGCTGGGTGGGGGGTCCACCTAAGGTATCTTACAGAAAGTTCGCCTGGCATCAGCTCCAAGATTGCCAGCGCCGATGGCCAGCTACTGCCCCTCTCACACCTCCGCTTGCTGTTGGAGTTTCTGAGGTTTCCGTGTGTTCCGTGTTTGTGGCTGTTTGGTAGATTCATGAAATAAGGGGACACCAATATAAACCCCAAAATACTATAACCCTTGTTATGGGGACCCCCAAAAAGGTACCCCTAATAAACCCTAAACCTGTTTGGGGCTTTTGGGATAAAGGATCTTCTTTGGCTTCTAGGTTGGTACAGTCTCTCCTAGGCTCTCTCCCCAGACAGGATCTGGAAGTCTTCCAAAAGTAGGGGTCCTTTTTTGGGGCCCTAGAATAAGGATTGTAGGTTGGGAACTGCCCCCCGCTCTGCAACAGTTGGCTACTACTTAGATTAGAGGTATATATAGCCCGCAATATGACCCCTGATATAGACTGTTGCAGGGTGGGGGCAGTACCCAAATTACAGTATTTTGGGGGGTATATACTCCGGCCCCCTTTATGGAAGCAACCATCTGGTTGCTTTGGGTGAGAAGTTGGGTTGAAGATTGCACCGCTGATAGGCTGCGTGTCAACGCAGGGGCGTTTTACAAAGTGCAAGTCCATATTGAGAGTCCATAGAACAGGTAAATACCCACGATGTTCGGAAGCTGGCATCTAATCCTGCAACTCTAGAAGTGCCAAGACGCCCTAAGCTTGTTGCTATCTAGTATGGGGTTTAGGTTCTAGGGCAGGTATATAATATATACTCCTAAGGGGTTCCCATATGACTAGTCTACGGCCCAAGTATCTACCATATAGCTACACGGACCCTTTGGGAGAAAACTCACCTTGCAGTTGTTTTGTCGAATAATCACTTTCCACTAATGATAAACCTAAACCGCCACTAACCGTAATCTGACATATTGATATTCCCCTCAAATATACCCCTGTACGTACTGGGGGGATGGGGGGGGTATAATTAGGGGGTGGATAATTGTAATTTTGAGCCATTTTTTGTTGTGTTTAAGCCTAGTTCAGGAAAGGTGCGCGCTAAGGCAGGCGCTAAAGCAGAAGACATTGGGCGAGAGCTGCGCCTGGGGGTGGCTATGTTCAACACATACAGATGGATATTGCGCGGAGGGTATGACGAATTAGGGGTCTAACAAGATTTGCTCACAGCGAACCTTGAAGAGGCTTCTGCTGGGATTTGTGAACTTGATGACGTAGGGGCCATGTGCTTACATGTGAATACAAATATATGATGATGTTGAAAATATGCGGGAAGCTGAGCAAAAGAATACTCCACAACGAGGGCAGTTTTCTTTAGCAGCTGAAAATCCTTACTTTCCAAGTTAGCAAATCAGAAACCTGCAAGTCTCATTGTATGATATGTGCCCTGAACCCTAACCCAGCCTGAGGCATAGAGAGCAGCAGGTGAATGGCCATTTGCCACTGCCCTGCTCGCGCCAAAGCGGACAGGCAGTTTGTGTAGGTGATCTGGTTTGCCTGGAGGCTTGACATATATTAATATGGTATACGGTATACTATAGTATTATATATAACAATTTATAATATATTATGGAAGCTAGGATTTCTTGTATTCGCCAAAGATTGCATTCGCCAAAGAGGCACCGAATATGAAAACCCACCAACATTCCTAAAGCAGCAGAAAAGAGTCACCCTACCTTAGGTACGCTCGTGCACTGCATAATGACCGTTAAGCCTGGAGCATTACGAGGCTCAAGTCATCATAGCATCCAACCACAGACATTCAAAACTTGCAATAACAACACGAAATCCAACTGAAATTCCGGGGCGTGAAAGGCTATTTGATCTTCCCGCATCATCTGGGCCGTTAGAAAAATAGGTGTATACATTCAATGGAAAAATAAAGCTTCCGCCCGCGAGCTTCCGCGAAACCTCCGCTAAGACTACTGGCAGGTTTTCCGACGCCGTGCTTCNNCTCTTCCGCGGATGTTTTCGTCGCAGGTGCTTCCGCGGCACTTCCGCGAAAGGGACTTAGTCTTTTCGGTGTTTTATCCGTCCAAAACCCGAGCGTACTTTGAGTGCGAACCACTTCAAAAGAGATCAGAAGGGAGAGTTGGGGCTGGCCTTAGAGGGTTGAAGCCAAAGACGTTCACTCGGTAGCGTATTCAAGGGGGGGAGTTGGGCTGGTTATAGATCGTTCAAGCCATAGGCGGTCACTTGGGAATTGGCACTGCGGTAAAGAAGGAGTGGCCACGTACTCCTAAATCCATCCCGTAGCTTCTGCGGAGCTTCCGCGAAGCTTCCGCGGAGCTTTCGCGAAATCCCCGTCACGACATTACTTCCACGGACACGATCCCGTGAAGGTATCTCCGTGGTGTCTTCCTTATTGTCATCACGGCTGAGTTTCTCCTCAAATTCCTAATCTTTCTTTGCTCGGGATTCGGAGGATGCAGAAAAGCGCTTCCGCTTGCTTCCGCAACAGCTTCAGCAAGCAAAGTGCTTCCGCGAAAGCNNTCCGCGATCTTCCGCGCGCACAGTGGGAACTTTTCGGAAATTGTTGGGGGCCGGTTTCCGATATTTTTTCCGTACTTCACTAACTTTCCTCAACCGCCTATTTGTTTAACTGCTCATCTGAGGAGTATCGCCTGGAGGCCGGCAGCAGGCAGCCCATGCAAGAGCTGCAGAGCTGTCATCCACTGGCTGCCTTCGCCACAGGCGGAGATCGCTGAGCTCACCTGAGCTGTAGCCTAAACTCCTTAAAGGGGGTTATATAGGGGATTATATTGGAGACTACTAAAGGGTTGTTAAGGGGGACACTCAAAATATACAGAATATCGAGGTTGAATTGAGCTGTGACGTATATCCTCTAAGGGGCCTAGTTGCAAGGATCGCATCCAGCTGGATGGAATGGATTGCGCAAGAATTGAATACACCCAGCGCATTCTGCCATCGGCAAGCACGGCTACAGGCTTCTTGTGCCGCGCTGAAACCTTCGTTCAGAAGGAGCTTAGGCCATAACTTTAGCGAAGAAATAAAATCGTTAAAAAGGACAAATCAGCTGTCAGTCTGACACGTAGCTCCTCACATCTGTAGGCATGCTCTGGTCCTCTAGGTCAAACAGGAGCTGAAGGGACAACTGCCAGTTGGATACCCTGCCACAGCCACTGATCAAAGTGTTGTAGTGGATGACATTGGCTTCAGCTGCATCTGCCTGGATGGCATGGAGTGTCTCCCAGGCTCTCAGAACCTCTCCTCCCTTGCAAAGCCGGCTCAACTTCGCCGTGAGCTGCTTTTGAAAGCTCTGGCCCTTCGCATCGTCCAGCTTCCGAGACATCACAGCCGCAGGGCCAAGAGGCCCTCCGTGCCCATGCTGTGACACACTGATCGACGCGAGGCACATCTGAATTCTTTCCACTGCACCTGCTCCTTTGGACCTCTCGGAAATTCAGCGGAGGAATCAACGACACAGGAGGGGCCGTGTTGCAATGGTTGCAGCCGTTTGTGCTGCTTCAATTGTTGCATTTCATCCCCTTGTCGCTGTATTACTAGAGGGACCAAGTCCAAAATTGAGGATACTCTTGAGGTCAGGTAAGGTAGACGTCAAGCACATACTGGCCCCGGCATCTGAAATCATGGTGCAAAGGTCAAAGTCTGCTTCGGGCATCTTTTTTCCAACCTCCTGCCCCCATGCATTAGTGCTCAATGCTGAAGGTTGGATGATGCTTTAATTCTGACTGCCTCTATCAGTGCACAAGTTTGACCGGGGCTTGGATTTAAGTGTCACATCGGAGCGCCCATCCACCACGCAATGAGCTGTGAGAGCGCCAATCTCTCAGCATGCCTGCCGCGGAGCTTGCACAGATCAAAACTCAAGTATTGCGAATATAGTTACACATTACAATGACAAGTTGACAAGTTACAAGTACCTGCAACAGAACGCAAAAAGACACATCCTGGCAAGAGGAATCAAACACAGCTAGCCACACCTTTACAATAACAATGGCAACGTGCGGAGGTCATGACAAGACTGCGGGACACTGTGACATCCAGCCTGGATCTATCATGCTGCACAAAGACCGGTCGCAACGGCCCTTGCTCACCACCACCATAACCAAGGACCTGGCCCCGGCTGCTTGCGCTTTGGTTGTTTGGAGTTGTAGCGGCCAACCACCCTGCCAGGCCCTCTGCAGATGGTGTTTTCTGTAGAAGACTTGGATCCTGGCCGCTCGCACCAGCCAAAATGGAGTCATGATCTTGTGAGAGCTGTGCTGGTTGCCGCAAGACCTTCCTCGACTCGTAGGCAGCTGCACCAAACCAATGGTGGCCCAACAGACTGTCCATCGAGACGCGGTGCAGAGCAAGGCGCGTGAACACGTCACCTGAAAATTGCACAGGTAGTTGCAGCACTGAAACACATGACTTTACATCTTTATGCCAACATGCTACTAAGCTATTAGCAGCCCTGCAAACTGTGCTGCGCGCGCCTAGGCTAAACTGCCTCTCCAGAACAGGCTCCCAAAGCTGAGAACCAGCCGCTGGCAGCATGCGCTTTGCACCGAGGCCACACAAGCTCTGCAACGACACCAAGCAGGGTCTGAGAACGGCCAGGGCTGTCCCGACTTGAAGGTCTGATGCTGCTGCTCCATGGACAACCAACAGCTCGTGGGCCTCCAGCATATGCGACATACTGCTCGGCTCTGCCTCACCCACCGAATACTTCTGCTGTCTCTGCTTACCTGTTGCATCTTGTAGCTCTTTCCTGCACTGGCTCCTCAGCTGGCCCATCAAAGCCATCAGCGCTTTTGGTTGCTCGGCATTCTCAGACGCACCAGATGCGGCCAGCAGAGCAACAATGCCAACATCATCGCTGCCACTACCCCAATTCATCTCTGCCAGTAAGTCACAAGCCAAAGTCCACTGAGACGAAAGCTCGCATGCATCTAACATCGAATTCCATGCAATGGTATCAGCCTGCACCTGCCAGTCCACCATGTCCTCAAGTAAACAAATGGCTGGCAGCCACTCTTGTTGCGCTGCTGCTGCCGTGATCGTTGCACTGCTTGAGACCACAGTGGGCAGGATCCTGAAGTTGCGCAACTCGCCGAACACGGACATGGCTGAAAGCCAGGCATAGCCCTTCTCACATGCGGTGATAGCGCTGTTGACTAGATTCGATGAAGGCCTCACAGCTTTGCAGTGCAGGCTCCCGAACTCTGCCAGGGCCCGCTCCCATTGCTGCCCCTTGCCCAAGGCACTCGTCAGAGCTAGGTATGTGATAGAATCTGCCTGAAGCGTTTCCTCATGCATGTCCTTCATGAGGTGTAGAAGTGGCTGAACTTGTACTGCCCGTTCGCATGCCAGAGATGCGGCATTGTATGCTGCCGCGCTAACCCTAACAAGCCGAGCGCGCATGTCTCGTAAACAGAGTGTGGCCTGCTCCCACTGGAAGGAGGCAGCACAGGCGCTCATAGCAGCTGTGTAGGCTGCCATGTCCGGCTTTGGTAGTGGCGACTCAGTGCATGACATGCAGCTGAGCAGCCACAAAGCAAAAACCCAAAGGCCAGCTCGGGCGAACGCATCCATCAATGACCCGCAGGCAGCAATGTCTGGCTTCGGCCCCCAGTCACACATTCCGCCAAAGACTTGCAATGTCTTCTGCCAGCGACCTGCCCGCCCGCAGGCACTGAGCAAGGAAGAGCAGGCTTCCAATTTAGGAAAGTCCACGATCGAGCTGCGCCCCCTCCTCATCAGGTGTAGGGCCAAATGCCAGGGCGCGGGCCTGGTGTCCGCGCTACCTGTGCCTGCGCCTCAGTCAGAGCAGGGCTCTGGGAAGGTTTCTTCGGGAGAAGCACTCATGTTTGTCTGTTGCTTCTAGTGCTGCAGAGAGCTGGAAATGCTTTTCAGACTTTTGTTGCCACGGCATGATGCCGAGCCAGCTGCTGCCCCAACCATTCGAAGCAAAAGTCTTGCTGCTCAGATCTGTCAAGTGGGTCAGCTAGGAAAAGCAGAAGCACCTGCCCTACTGTCTATTCTGCAACTGTCATGAGACTCCCTCCGTCTCAAATGGCAAAGCCTAAGCTGCAAGTACGTCAGGCTGTAAGCTCCCCGCATGCGCTGATTGCTGCGTTGAAAGTGATGGCACCCGGCTCAATCTCATTGGACTCGAACTCCTGATCACCACTGCTTCTACACCCGTAGGAGCAAAAAAATGGTTCTTGAAGTCATTTCAACGACAGAACAACGCCGAGACAAAGCTTTGCTGGCCGCTTAAGAGCATGAAGACCCCCCCTTACAGACATTGTTTCTCAAATCTTCCCTGTGACGTTGAATTGCGTTTCTTCGGGCTAGTGTTGGGTAGCAGGAAGGGAGCATGCAGAAGCAGTCAAAGCAACCTCACCTGCAGGAGTTGGAGGGCAGCTTGCCACTGACTGCTGCGCCCCAGGGCTGTGATCACCTTAGCCAGGCTTCAGCTTGGCTCTCTGAATTTGACGCCTATTCCTTCTAGTAATGTCTGGGAAGCTCTACAAGTACATATAAGCGCCTGTCTTGGGCCCCGGCGGTGTTGAAAGAGATGCGATCTGGTTCAGGGCCCTGCTCTATTGCCTCTGGTGTGCTGCAGTCATTGGGGTCAGGAGGGGGCAAGGAGACGGGCCCACTGGTGGCATGAAGAAGATTCAGCAATAACCAAGCAAGGCCACGAAAATCCTGGACTGACCACCCACCTTCATGCCTATCTGAGCACCACTTACCGGACTTACCGTTGCCGATGCAAAACGGGTTCTACATAGTTGGCCTGGAAGACCATGGATAACGCCAGCTGCCAGTTACTCCCGCGCTCCACTGCGCTCATGGCTGCGTTCCCTGGCAGGGTGCTGTTGCTGTTTGTGCTTGGGCAGGCTTTCATACTCTTTCAAGATTGCACTCTGGATTCTGACTGGTGCCTGCCAGGGCAAAAGCACATGTACAGGTCCAGAGTTCTCACCGCCGAGATTATGCGGACAGATATTGAACTACTGTTTTCTGTGCCCAGCTCCACTTCTCTTCCCTTCATGATATGTAACCGTAATAACCGCACATAAGAAGCACAGAATCTAGGTAATTATCCTTACATATCCTACAATCCCCTACTTTACTCAGCTTCATCCAGTTTTCATTTCATTGTCCCTGTCTGTTCCATTCGAGTCTCCACTAGTTTACCCTAAACCCTAAACTCCAAACCCAACACCCCAAACCCAATTTCTACGACGCCGCAGCCTGCAAAGGTGTTGGCCTCCAAGCCTTCCTGCGTCGCTGTGTGGAGCAAATGCAAGGCGGAGGTCCAGAGCAGCCCTGCGTGATGGGCTTTTACCCGGCAGGTTACTGGGTTGCTGTTAGGGAACTTACATTAAGTTACTGTACTGAGGAAACCCTATTATGTACTACATACCCAAACTATATTAACTGAATTTAATAAGCAACCCAGTAGTAGATCAGATGGGTATCTATAAGAGGAACAATCAGGAGAGCATATCGAAACCTAAGCAGGCGGGGATACCGCCCGCATGTCTAGAAGACAGGTGTCCATGTCATGGAAGTGTAACAGGACAAAGACTCCACGCGAATTGTCCCAGAAAGGCAGCACCCTTGAATGAATGACAACCATAACAGGCACATCCATGCAAATGGAGCCGATAACAGCAAACAAGATCCCACGTGTAGTGTGCATGTGAACACCAGGATGTGTTGGACAGCTTCTGGATGCTTCACAAAGATTTGACAATTTGGCTTTGATGTAGCCTTGAAAATTCTAGTTCCACATAAATGGCATCAACAACTCAGCCACAATCTTTCAAGAATGGGGACCTCAAGCAATGGAGCCTTGGTCTGAACAATGGCCCCGTGTGGGGTCCCGTTGTAGACTTTCCTTATCACATGGTGTGCCCCAAACCCTAGACACTCACTACATAGCCCCAAAACTCCTTAGTGCAACCCCTCATTCTTAGAACAACCCCTGTACAAACCCCAGAGAATCACGTGCCTCGACTGCTTGCCGTGGCAACGGTGCAAAAGCTCACCTTGGTCAGTGCTGGAATACGGCCAAAAGACCTAGTGCAGACCTATATACTATATCCACATAGTTATGCGTATAATATTTGTACATATGTATGCATGTGTGCCATGTGTACGCATGTATGCAGGTATGTATGTATTTGCGTGCTTATAGTGCATATGTTTGCGCATTGCATCTTGCGCAACAAGGGAATAAACTACTCCGCATATACCCTTTAACCCCTCAACCCTAAACGCTAAAACCCTTTTCGCATCCAGCCTGCAAAGCCTCTGCTAGGAAAGCGACTCCCCAGTCACAACCCTAAAGCCCTAAACCCTAAAACCCTATACCCCAAGCCCCTAAACCCCTAAACCCTCAACCCCAAAAACCTATACCCTAAACCCTAAACCCAAGACCCCAAAGCCCTAAACCCCAAATCCAAACACCCAGTAAGGAGTGGCCAAGTCACCATGTCAGGCTGCAGCTGCAGGCCCGGCAGAGCAGAGAAAAGCTCTAAGCTGGCGGGCGCCTGCGAGCCCTGGCAGGACTTAGCGGTAAAGGGGGTGCAGGAGGTTTAGGGTTCAGGGGGTTAGGCGTAGGGGGCTTAGAGGTTTAGAGGTGTGGGATTTAGGGTTTTGGGGTTTTGGGGGTTTAGGGTTTTGAGGTTTGGGGTCCAGGGTTTAGGATTTTTTTGGTCTCAGGGGCTTGTGGGTGGTTTCCCAAAATTGGGTAGACTGAAAAATTAGGGTACCTTTAAAGGGGTTGTAGGGGCTGTGTAGGGATATATGGGGGATTTATAGGGTTTAGGGGATGTTCAGGGATTAGGTTTAAGATTGCAGGGATATCACCTCAAATAATGGAAATGTGAATTGAGCCCAGCAATGGACAATGAAATGGAAACTGGGGTTACATGGTGGATTAGATTTCCCAAAATCAGGGGTACCTTATTGCGGGTCCCCATAGTACGGATGATACTATTTTGTGTGACCTGAGTTACACAAAACTACCAAATTTTACCAGAATTCAGGACCCCATACAGAAGGCACTTGACGTCAGACAGTCTTTCTTTCTCAAGCTACAGGGCAGAAGCTTGGATTTTGCCGTCGCGCGGCCTTATCCCAAGCGTTGAGCAGGGCATTGTACCTCAGGAGCCAGCATGATACTATCTGTAACAAGTGCTGAGCCACCTGACCACCGTTGGCTAATGTTGCTTCCCAACATGGCAGGGAATGCTCACAACGCAGAATTTGCCGCGCGACTTGCTGACGAGCGGCGTGACGATGCCTGGCTGAAGGTCGTCCTTCTGCAAAGCCTCGAGCTTGGCCGTTGCCGCCTGCGCCGCTGAATTCTCTCTCAACAGCCCCTGAAGTCCAAAAGGCCTGACAAGTGGCGGAACTTTGCGTCTTGGAAATTCCCAGCCTGCCACCGGGCACTTCTGCCAAGCGCAGAGATCTCGGAGGTGACGCGCCGCAGCTCCAGGAATGCCATGGCCGCGAGTACTGCACAATGGACAGGACACGATCAGCTGTGAGCAAAAATGTTCGCCCAACTTTGGATAAAATCAGCTCCAAGCATGCGAATGTTAAGTTTGTTTCTGGCAAAGCTTCAACCCGCCATCTCGCTTGATTGAATTGTGCCATGCCCTCGCCTGCACATGCAGCAGCAATAGTGCCAGGGCTTTGACGGGAGCTTCTGAATTGCAAGGATCCTTTGTGGGCATCCCTCTCTAGCGATTTCCCACATTTCAGGTTTACTAAGACGTTCAATAGCTTGCATTTGCCTTATGAGCATGCAAGCACCTGAGGTTCAAGCTCCAGGTAGGGGTGAGAAGACACACGGTCAAACGAAGCGCTGCGCCTTCACTGGCATTAACACTGGCATTAAGGTTTCAAAAGTTGCCGAAGCTAGCATGTGCTGACCCTCTCAACTTGGGACTTCAGGGCTCTCACCTCAGAATTGCTTGAAGAGTTTAGGAGATCCCCATGACTGAAACAACCTCTACTTCCCAGCTAGCAACCGCCGACCTTCTTCAAGACCTTGCCGCCCAAGAAGCAAGTCCAAACATGAGTTTCTAAGCCAGGGGTCCCGTTACGCTGATTAGCGGCTTTGGCGTTCTCTCTAACGGAATATACCGCAATCCACTTGTCCGCCCCATGAAGCCCATAATGATTTTGCTGACTTTCTGTGTCTCAACCAAGTCGTTACGGCATTGCGTGGGCATGGGAGCCGGTGCGAGAGTGACTGGTCTTGCAGAGGTACAAGTACATCTAGGTCCCTGGAAGTGCAGTGTAAGGTTTTTCAGGGAATATGTTGGGCGCACCCCTTCTAAGTTGCTGGGTTGCCATTGCGATAACCAGGTTAGAGCATCGTCCCACACACTTGCGTGTCGTTCCCTAGTATTGACGGCCTGCCACGGTGCTGCAGCTGTGAGCTGTTGCGCTGGTATCTGTGTTCTGACTGGTCCGGAAACTTCCAATTCTTCATCCCAGGATCAGTATGTAATCAAGTCTGATTCAAGCCTACCCCTGTCTGCCCCAAAACCGCAAGCCCTGAAAGATTCGATGGCACCCTCTACTCTACCTACCATCTTGAATGCCCATATACATGTATACACACATGTATGTACATATGTACATATGTGTAGGTATCTAGATAGCTTTGGATAGAGAAAGAAAGGCATGTAAAAACACAGCCACCTCTCCCGCAGCCTTGGCCCACTTCGTCCCGGCGCACGTGGGCGACCGGGGCTTGGAACGAAAGCTCGTGGCCGGGGGAGCTGCCGGAGATCCTGCGCAAGCCTGGCTCAAATGCTTAGAGGGGAATGCAAGAGAGAATGGAAACAAATGAGTTATAGTCTGAACTCCTTACAGGGGGTTATATATTGTAGTTATTATAGGGCTTGTGTAGGGGGGATACTAGGAGTTTATGTAGACTATAGCTGAAATGGAAACAAGATAAAACAACCATGTGGGTGTACCTGTAACCCTAACTACATACAGTTGTATGGGTCATACCTATGAGCTAAGGGTACTTACTACGAAGCTGCAAGTAATTGGGGTTACAGGCAAGGATTGCGGGAATTAATGGCCTTTATTTAGGTGCACTAGCGCCGAATCTGCGGACACCGCACAGAGACCAAGCCTTAGAGAGCCCTCGATACGGGGGCAATGCAGTAAGCATTGTATTTCTTCTCTTGCGAGTCTGCAAAGATTACAGGGATTTAGGGTCGTGTAGGGCAAAATGAACTCCTTGGAAGAAGTAGTTTGCGCATGGTCGCATTCAGCTGCTACCACGACAGGGCCCCTAGGCTCTTGCAGGAGGAGCGTCGAGTGATAGAGGCAAACGCGAATCATGACCATCCCTTTCACGTCATCATCACACACAAAAAACGCGTCATCGCAGGAAGGAAGAGTTTTGGACGGGCCTTTGGCGCTGCTGCTCCTTCTCCGTGGCTTTTGACAAGGTTTTTGACTCGACAGTCAGAGGTGGTCGCAAGGACGTCGGCGCCTGCATCCACATGCTCATGCTTGCTCCGAGCAGAGCCTTCAATTCCAACAAGCGCGCCGCACAGTTCTGCTGGCTCAGCGCCGCAGCTACAAACTAAAGTAAAGCTTCTCTTGACCCCAGCAGCCCCGCATGACTCGGCACTTTTGGGCATCAGATTTCAGAATGTGAAGGTCCACCCCCTAGCCTTTGAAGCACTCTCTTGGGAAAGTGTTGAGAGCGGAGGTCAAGCCACCGACAGTCAGAGTTACAGTGCGAAGAGGTGCTGCTTAAATCGGAGTGATCTTATGGCAGTGGCGGCGTGTGCTTCACATGAAGAGCGGACACAAAGGAGCCTCGGCGTCTCGCAGTGCCACCTGGCACGTCTCTCAAACTTCAGAGCAGGGTTCGCCATGCTAAGGACCCAGCTGCCCAAGCTGTTTTGGGGACATATGCTTCTACAAGTACAAGGAGCGCAATGCATGGAAGCCGCTCACTTATGGGACCTGGTTTTGAAACATGCCTGCCTGGTGGCGTCGAGGTTCGAAACTTGCTATGAGCGACAGGCTGCACCTGGAGTCAGGCGCATCAACAGCTACAACTGTGACGGTGACTATCTAGGGCAATCGAAGCTGTTCCGAAACCTCCTTGCCATCTTGAGCGGTGCAGTTTTGTTTCTCAAATTTCCTTCTTGCGGGGATCCTTTTACATGCTTGTTTGGCACCTAGCTGCCCAGTCTCCTGCAGACTTAGGCAAGTGGACCTTAGGTCTGATGTTGCACACGTCGAGACGAAGCAGAGGAAACCGAACGCCTGGAGCCAAAGTGGAGGTGGTAGGCCAAGACCTTAGGAGCATGCGCACTCAATATGTGAAGAGAACCCTCCACCGCCAACCCAAGATACCCCCATATACTCTTCACGTCTGGCACAGCACATCCGCAATATGTCATACTCAGTCCACGTGGCGGGCACATCTCCCAGAGGGCCGAGGGCTGCCAAGCAGATCGAGACCAGCAAGGTCCGTGCTCCGGAGAGTGCCTTGCGCTCAGCAACGGCAGCTCTCCGAACAAGGTTTCCTGTGCTCAATAAAGGAGATTGAAAACAGGAGCTGGGCCTTGCTTATGGTGATAGTCATGATGGCGGCCACGCTTGGTTTCGAGCTTCCAGACTTGGAATGCTAGGCAGCCGATCCTGTGATACTGAGAAGTCCAGAGTGGACTTCTAACTCTCAGCCTCTCGCCAGGTGTTGCAAGGTTGATGCTGGCATTTGAGGTAAGCAACCCTAATCATATTCATATCTTCTCGATCTCTCCAAGAAAATGCATGCCGTGCACCATGCTTCATGCCAATTGCAATCAGCACATGCTCGGTTGCGAGACAACTCCTTGCACCTTCCCCGTTCAGGCCTGGATCTCCAGCAGGACATTTTGCGTAGCATCCTGCGAAGACACCTGTCTCAAACTCAAACAGCCCCTGAATAAACGTGTGACAAGAAGCCATCAAAAAGATTGCTGCGAGTAGTGTGGATCAGATACTAGAAATAGAAATAATCGATTTCAGCACACATCCACTCTGCAAACTTCACGTCGCACGGGACCACGAGCAGGAAGGCACGTGCCAAACATATTATGGCCGTCATCATATTTGTAAATCTTCGATACTCTTGCCGGTGGGCGTGTTGACCCTCGTGGAGCACCTAAACTCTAAACCACAACTTGCTGGAATCGGCAGCTTGAGAACCTCTTCAGACACCCCAGCGACAAGCAAGCCTACGGCCTGGAACCTGAGACTCCGTATCATTATTACCAGTTCATTATTCCTCTTCTTATTATTACTATCCCAAAACAACAGCACCTCAACACAAAGCTGCTGCTGGCGGCGGCCACTCGCGAGATCTTGGAACCTTCAGTGTAGGAGTAATAGTAGAGAGCGTGGAATTGCTGAAGGAAATTTTGGGTTTAATGGCAGCTGCACGCGATTGTCGCCATACCCTCAGCCTTCCGCTCCGCGCCACCCACCACCCACCACCACGAGCTTTTGTCCGAGGATTCGCAGCACAGAAGCTGTGGAGGGGACTTCCCATCCAAAATCAAAGCGGGACCTGGCGCAGCCGCGTCAACTGATCCCTGAACCTGGTTTCTGCAAACTATGATTTCTGGCACGGGGTGGACCTGTCAGGCGCAAGTATAATCAATTTGAGTAATTAGCGAAGCAAGGAGGCTTTCTGATATCCTTGTACGGAGGTCTTCACATTTGGGGCATGCAGGGCAGCCTGATTACCAGAACCACTCGGATGCCTGAACGAGAACCCTCCTCTTAGAAGGAGCCCAGAAACCAAGCACCCTTTGCCGAGATTCTGCTGCCAGAAGCCCTTTGCAGGAGACGGCAAGGGAGATACTGTAGTCTCCTTAGACCTGTTATAAACATATCGTTTTAAATAGCTCCTAATGGTAATACCATAATAGAAGTTAACAATAATTCCTAAGTACTTATACCAGAATAGAAATTGACAATAATTCCCAAGGAGACTACAGGATAGACATGGCAGTTCCGCTGCCCTCGGTGTCCAAAAGAAGCCGGAGACCAGCCTGGCTGCCAATGGTACGGTAATATTGGGGTTGTATGGGGATAATGGAAAAGAAAATGGAAACTATAGGGGCTTATGGGGGTTATATAATTATAGGGTTTATGAGAGAGAGAGAGAGAGAGAGAGAGAGAGAGAGAGAAAGAGAAAGAGAGAGAAAGAGAGAGAGAAAGAGAGAGAGAGAGAGAGAGAGATATATATAGATAAAATATTAGGATTATATGAGTGCCGGACTAAATCTCTTATGTGGCGTAGAAGTCATCAGATTTAGG